CGAGTGAGCCACAGGCCAGCCCTTTAATCAGTTTTTTACGGCTGACTTTTTTTTTTTTTTTTTTTTTTTGTCTTTTTCCGTGTCCGGCAATGGATCGCAACCCTCAGTGTCGCCCCCGTACCGGACCGGGTCGGCAACGGGATCGCAACCCTCGGTGTTGCTCCCGTGCCTCGCTCAGCCAGTGAGTGGGAACCGGTCTGTATGTGGGATCCGAACCCTCGGGCGGGAGCACCGCCGTGCTTCCCAAGCGGCGCACTATCCAGTGCGCCACCGGGCCGGCCCACGGCTGACATTTTTCTGACCTATGGTCTTGGAGAGCATGGTATTTCCCATGAATGACGAGTAAAAGTATCAATGGATGATTTGAGTTTTGCCATTATGGTTACCTTTTTAAAAATGTATCCTCCTTTTCAGTCCTTTTACTAATGTAACTGTACTTTCTTCAGCTATCTAGGGCTACAGATAGGATAATGTTATACTTGTTTAGCTCAAGTATAACAACAAAACAAAGCAGGGTGTATATCAAATATGCTTTTTCTGCCAACACCCCCATCTGCATGGCTTCCTGTTTAAAAGATGGCTTTGAGAACCTTTTGTGGACCTTGGGAGTGGGACTCTGGCCTTCCTTTGAGGATAGAAACATGAGGGTAGAGAATGTTAAATGTTACAGTAGGGGGCTAATATCTAACATAGAGGGGTAACTTGGGCTAGAAGTCAAGAGAGTGGGGTTACACAGAGGGAAGACTCCTCCAGGCTTGTATCTTGGTTTTTCTCACTATTAATCTCTGCGAAAAGCTAGCTTTAAAAGATTGTTTCTATAGAGTCATTGCCAAGGTTAAGGGGATATTTCTTCCTTCTCTTCTCTTTTCTCAACTTCTGTCCTCCCTCACAGTACTTAGGTAGGAGAAGGGTAAGTAGATGGAGGGGAGGGGGTATTCCCTGTAGATGATTCCAGGTGACATAACCTTGTTTAACCGCCAGTATTTTTTTCCCCCTTCTCTCTCCCCTCCTACAGAAATGGAGGCAAACGACCATTTTAACTTTACTGGCCTTCCCCCTGCATCTGCTGCCTCAGGACTGAAACCCTCTCCTTCCTCAGGGGAGGGCCTCTACACTAACGGGTCTCCCATGAACTTCCCCCAGCAAGGGAAAAGTGAGTGTGAGGGCTACATGGCCTGGGGAGGGAATGGGTATCATTCCTTTAGAGCAGATTCATGGGAGATTTGTCTCCACATTGGGCTAGCTGTCCCACAGCAGCTCTTTTTCTTGCCAGGTGGGGAGGGAGGAAGTGAATTCACAGAACTGCAGCTGCTGGAGAGAAATCAAGCTTCTAAGAACAAGTTCTAGGGGTTTATGGAAGTAACACTTATAGTCTTGACTTTAGGTTGAAAGGATTAGAAAAATATACTGGCTTTCTCATCTTAGCCTGCTCTTCTGTCAGCCCTGTTTCCTGGCTACTGCCAGAGAATGATGAGGTGGCTACTGCTGCTGATAACCAGGTTGGATCCATGAGAGAGAAAGATAAAGGACCAGCCCTCTGAGAAGCTGTTTTTAGAGGTTGGAGAAGCTGCATTGGGTTAGGATTGGGGGTGGGGGAGTTGGGTGAAGGTTGGGTTGTATTTGCCTTTTAGTTTGTGTAGCAATGAAGAGGGCAAATGCTAGAAGTGCCTGTGACACTCCCTGTCCTTGGATAGAAGGTAGAGACAAGGGAGAGTTTAACCCTTACCTAGTTACCCAGAGAGAAATTTGTAATTCCAGATGGAAGTGTTGCTGTCAGGATCGAATCTTTTCCTGGATTTGGCTTATCAGTGGCTCTGTACCATGACTCTGCCAAGTACCTCTCTTAATCTTGCTTGGGTTTCTGGTCCTGTATGCTTGGAAGCAGAGAAGTTCACATGCTTCCCTCCTTCCTAGCAGCAGAAAAATGCTGCAGTAGGCTTATACTTACCACTTGTTCGTCCTATCCTCTATGAGGGGGTTGCAGATAGAAGTTTCTTTTTCTCATGGAAGCACTCACCCCTCACTCCCTCCCAGCTTCCTTAGTATCTTGGTTCCTTTTATTTGATTGTCCTCCATCCCAGAGGTTGCCACTGGTGTTGAGGGCTGAATTCTGCGGCACTGGTCATGCAGAGATTTTTCCCCCCTGCTTATTATCTTCCAGTGCTTATGGGGTGGGGCCAAGCCCAGCCTTTTGAGCTGGGATCTTGTCACTGTGGTGACTGCAAATTCTATTCTTAGCCCAGCACAAAGTGCTAGATCTGCATGTGCCAGTGAGGTGGAGGCTGTCCCTTGTGGTGCCACTGTGGGACCAAATAGGCACTGGGGGAACGGGGAGAGGAGGGGCTGGAGAATTCAGTCTTGCCCCTCCAAGGGAAGAATTCCCTCAGGGAATGATAATTGGGAAGAATGCAAGTCACCATAGGGAGTCTACAGCTTCTTTTAATAATAATAATAAAAAAGTCAGTAGCAGCCAGCTCTCTGCTGGTGGCTCCCATGGTAGGCCTGGAGAACTCCCTAGCCCCCTACTCATCAGCCTCAGCATCAGTTGCTAAGCTCACATCCAGAAGCATCTGTGTTTGGTATTCCCCTGAGACCCAAAAGATAAATATAGCAGAGGGGGACTCCCCTTCCTCTTTCCTTTTTCTAGCCAGTGCTGTTACTTCAGGGTTCTTTCAGTAGTTAATTGTATACATGTCTATAACTGACCATTTTCTCTCCTTCTCTGCCAGGTTTGAATGGGGATGTGAATGTTAATGGCTTATCTACTGTATCTCACACTACTACTTCAGGGATTTTGAACTCTGCTCCCCACTCCTCCAGCACCTCACACCTCCATCACCCCAACGTGGCCTACGACTGTCTCTGGAACTACTCACAGTACCCATCTGCCAATTCTGGCAGCAACCTCAAGGACCCACCCCTTCTTTCCCAGTTCTCGGGGGGACAATACCCACTCAACGGCATACTTGGGGGCAGCCGGCAACCTTCATCCCCAAGTCACAACACTAACCTTCAGGCTGGGAGCCAAGATTTCTGGGCAAACGGTACCCAGAGTCCTGTGGGGCTTAACTTCGACTCACAGGAACTGTATGATTCCTTTCCTGACCAGAATTTTGAGGTGATGCCCAATGGACCCCCTAGTTTTTTCACCTCTCCACAGACTTCTCCTATGTTGGGATCTAGCATCCAGACCTTTGCACCTTCCCAGGAGGTAGGCAGTGGTATCCATTCTGATGAGGCAGCAGAAAAGGAGCTGACTTCAGTTGTGGCAGAGAATGGCACTGGCTTGGTAGGCAGCCTGGAGCTGGAAGAAGAGCAGCCAGGTATAACTGGGTCTGTGAGCTGGGTGGGGAGAAGGAAAATGGGGCTGTGGGGGACAGTGGTTTTTTGAGGTGAGGAAAACTTGTCTTTCCAGCTCTCTGCAGTGGAGGCTGATTTGCATGTTGGTGATTAACAGAGCCAAGTGGCTGGTGTTTTTGTGGTAGCAGCACCAGCTCGTGAGTAGGAGTGCAAATTATTTCAAGCTCATGCAGAGTTGCTGGCCTGGAGAGGGCAGGTGGGCGAGCTCAAAACAGCCCCAACAGACACCCTGCATTAAGAAGAGCTTCTTCCAAAGTATATTAGGGGGTTAGGGCATTAGCAATAGGCATTGAGGCCGTTTTGACTGACTGGCAGGGTCAGGCTGGCTGCTAGAGGGGCTGAGCCCTAGTAGTGATGGGCATGTGAAGGAGGGAAAGAAGCAGGCAGAGCATACTATTGTTTATCTACTCAGTTTCCGTTCTTTTTTGTTGTTCGCATTATACATGTGACAACCCCTCTCATCTTTTCCCTCAAAATAGATGAAAGTTTAGCTTGCAATTGACTGTACAAGGGTGACCATTCTGTAAAATCACAGGATATTTTCTCTGTTCCCACTGGATGGAGGAGATATCTGAGAACATGATGGTCTTCTTGTCTCAGATCCCACTATCGTTTCCTCTCTCTTTGCCCTGCCATAGGGTTGATTTTTTTTTTTTTTTCCCCTTTTTTTTTGTCTTTTTTCATGACCGGCAACGGGATCGCAACCCTCGGTGTTGTGCCCGCACCTCGCTCAGCCAGTGAGCGGGAACCGGTCTGTATGTGGGATCCGAACCCTCGGCGGGAGCGCACTGTAGCAGTGCGCCACCAGGCCGGTCCCCATAGGGTTGATTTTACCAGCACATCTCTGCTCACTTAGTAACTTGATATGATCGGTTCCCAGCATAGAACTGGCATCTTGGCAGCAACAAATGTTGAATGAATGAACATCCTTCTAGCAAGGATAGACTGCCTACTATACCTAAATGATTTTTTTTTTGGTCTTTTTGTCTTTTTCCGTGTCCGGCAACGGATCGCAACCCTCAGTGTTGCCCCCGTACCGGACCGGGGACCGGCAATGGGATTGCAACCCTCGGCGTCGCTCCCGCGCCTCGCTCAGCCAGTGAGCGGGAACCGGTCTGTATGTGGGATCCGAACCCTTGGGCGGGAGCGCCGCCGCGCTTCCCAAGCGGCGCACCATCCAGTGCGCCACCAGGCCGGCCCCAAAGGCACTGATTTTGATGTTTTCTCACTCCTGGCATTTCCTAGAATTGAAGATGTGTGGCTACAATGGCTCTGTTCCTTCTGTGGAATCCTTACACCAAGAGGTCTCAGTCCTGGTCCCTGACCCCACAGTGAGCTGTTTAGATGATCCTTCACATCTTCCTGATCAACTGGAAGACACTCCAATACTCAGTGAAGACTCTCTGGAGCCCTTCAACTCTCTGGCACCAGGTGGGCTTGGAGGCCTTGGAAGAAATAGTAAACCAGGGAAAGTGTAGGGAATCTGGCATTTTGGGGCCTCTGGATAATCCTGTGGCAAACCACAGTTACATGCCATTGGCCTGGCTGGGCCAACTATACTCTGAGCTGAATTGGTTCATTTCCCAGATTCTCTCCCAGTGTTCTTTTTGGCCAAGAGCCCTGGGCTGTAATAATTCACTGGATAGGGACTTATTACCACATAGTTATGCTGTTTGGGTTCTAACTAGAATGAAAACATTTGCCAGGGAACAATTACCTTTTACCCCACTGAAGTATAAGAAAGCCTATTTTATGATAAATACAAGAATTTTGCACTGATCTGTGGGTAAATACATGATCAATACCTTTCTCTTCATTTCTACCTCAAACTGTTATGATCCCTACAGTCTCATGACTTTGCTCTTTCAGGGAGAGGGCTGTAAATTTTCCCTAATTTAATATTAAAAAGAATCTTTACACTGTGGGAAGTAGAATTGGATATTTTTAGATCAGTATTTTGTAAAGAAATCTTGCTTTCTGATTTTTCTTCAATATATTGCTTTCTGATTTTTCCACCCCATGAACAGAGCCAGTAAATGGAGGACTTTATGGTATAGATGACACGGAGCTGATGGGTGCAGAGGATAAGCTGCCTCTTGAGGACAGCCCCGTGATCTCTGCCCTTGATTGCCCTTCCCTTAGTAACGCTACTGCCTTCAGTCTCCTGGCAGATGATAGTCAAACATCAGCCTCTATCTTTGCCAGCCCCACCTCTCCACCTGTCCTAGGCGAGTCTGTCCTGCAAGGTAAGTGAGGAGAGGTAGGACAAAGAAAGTCCTTGACCTGCAAAAAGGTGAGAGAATAAGTTCCATATTAGGGCCATATGGGTGGAAAAAATCTGTAAGAGCACCTTGCTGGGAGCTGAGGGAGCTATGGGGGACTAAAAGAGGCACAGGCCACTATACTCTGTGCCCTCTACCCTGAAGAACTTGTGAGACTTAGCGTTTGCAGGGGAAAGGAGGTCAGAGGCCTTACTGGCTCCAGGTAAAAGGTATTTCTTCACACAGTGGTGGCAGCGGTAGCAGCAGCAGCAGCTTTGCCCTTTAACCTTCCTGAAGGGTTAGGGAGGACAACCAGAAGCTACTTCTTTTTCCCATCTTAGGGAAAAGCCTTTGAAGTAACCCTGTTTAGCTTAGTCCAGGTTTGACTGAGTAGATTCTCTTGTTTCATATGACACTATTTTTCCTTTACCCATTCTGTACCTTTGTATTCTAGATAACAGCTTTGACCTGAATAATGGTAGTGATGCTGAACAAGAAGAAATGGAGACTCAGGCTTCAGACTTCCCACCACCCCTGACCCAGCCAGCCCCTGACCAGTCATCCACTATTCAGCTCCATCCAGCAACCTCACCAGCAGTCTCGCCAACAGCTTCCCCGGCAGTCTGCCTAGCAGTTTCTCCAGTAGCCTCACCAGAAGTCTCTCTAGCAGTTTCCCCAACAGCCTCCCCAGCAGTCTTCCCAACGGTCTCTCCAACTTCTTCAACAACCCTCCCAGCAATTTCCTCAGAAGTCTCCTTCCAGGCTCCGGTAACCTCCTCAAACGCCTCCCCTGTAACTTCTCCAGCAGCTGCCATCCCAACAGCCTCCCCAGCAAATAAGGATGTCAGCAGCTTTCCTGAAACCACTGCTGACTTAGAAGAGGTCACTGGAGGAGTCACTACGTCTGGTAGTGGTGAGTGTCCACATTTTGTTCTACCCTTGGCTGGTTCCAAGAACAGTTTCTGTCCCATGTTGCATTTAGCCCTTCCCTACTGGCACGTTGTTTCAGTATTTTGCTTGAACTCTTAACTTGGGTATCACCTATCTTCCTCCCAAGGTGATGTCTTGAGGAGACGTATTGCTACACCAGAAGAAGTTCGTCTTCCCCTCCAACATGGGTAAATGCTCTAGATTGCTATGTGCATTGACCTTGACAAGTTAATGCATAACTCTGGGAAGTAGGGAGCTCCTCTGTTCATCTGAGGTGGGGGAGGAATGGGCTAGGCAAGAGTAAGATCATAGGACAGTTATCTGAAATGATGTTTCTTGGCATGAGATTCCTGGGTGGTTCTTCTCTCAGGGTCTGTCTTCCCTCACCTATTCTTTCCTCATCTTGTGGTGACTTAGTTTTGCTCAAGGGGCTCCAACTATTGTCTTTTCCAAACCAGAGGGCTCAGATATCCAAACTAGCTAGCTTGTCTTTTTTTTTTTTTTGTAGAGAAAGGATAGTAATAAATAATGAGTAGTTTAGTACCAGTGAAGTGGGGTAGTTTTGTTGTTGTTTTATTGCTCTTTGGAGAGGTAAGGGTAGGAACAGTGTGTGACCAAAAAGAGCAAGCCAGCTGACACCAAGGGCCTTGTGGGAATAACTGCCTTCCTGGATCTTCCCCACCCCCACTGCTCTAGGCTACTTGTGGTCACCAAGTTTGAGTACTGCTTAAAAGTTTTGAGAGAAAGATAAAGCTTGGTTTTGGAATAATCTGTTAATCAGAACACAGAGTTCCTAACTAAACCCTGGCCTACTGAGTCATTTCATGGAGTCAGCAGCAAGTTTACTCTTCTGCTTTCTTTACCACGCTCTGTCTTCTGCCTTTATTCCCTTAGGTCTTCATCCTCTTTACTGGAAACCCAGTAATTGCCCTGAATGGCCTCAGGGAGGGGTTTCTGGCTTCTCATCTCATTGACTTTGTAAAAAGAAAGGGTGAAGGTCTTTCTGGGCTTCTGCAGTTTGGTGGCCTTGAGGCCTTGAGCTTTTTGAGGTATTTGCTGGAGCTCAAGCCTGCCTTCTAGCCCAGCTGTATCTTATGCTGCTTTTGCATTTGCATGTAGTTCTAGTGAGCCAGATGTGGGGAGGATCATCATCTTCTCAGTGAGCTTGGCTCTTGGGTGGCATGGGAGTGGATAGGGGTGTGACCTGGCGGCAGGGCCCGTGTGCTTCTTTGGCAGGTGGCGGAGAGAGGTGCGTATCAAGAAGGGCAGCCACCGATGGCAGGGGGAGACCTGGTATTATGGCCCCTGTGGGAAGAGAATGAAACAGTTTCCAGAAGTGATCAAGGTAATGTAGGTTTCATGGGCTTTTTTAAAGGAAGCACAGACTCCTTTCTTGGGTCCAGTGGCATCAGGCTGGCATTATCTTTTTCAAGGCCTGTTCTGTTTGTGCCATTCCTGGCCAAAGACATGGTAGGGCTATGACTTCATTAATGTCATTTTACTTCCTCTTCTTAGTACCTGAGCCGCAACGTGGTACACAGTGTCCGCCGTGAGCACTTCAGTTTCAGTCCCCGTATGCCTGTTGGAGACTTCTTTGAAGAGAGAGAAACACCAGAGGTGCAGACTCAAAAGTTAAATATACTTTTGTCCCCGAGAAAGAATTGGTGAACAAGCTGCAGTTTCTTCTTGTGGGGTTTGGAGGTTCTGGGGCATTGAATGGTTCAGAGGGCCTAGTGACCTGCACTGATTCCCTCCCATACTAATACTGTCTTTCTCGTTACCTTAGGGGTTGCAGTGGGTACAACTCTCAGCAGATGAGATACCATCCAGGATTCAGGCAATTACTGGCAAACGGGGTCGACCTCGAAACACTGAGAAGGCTAAGATCAAGGAAGTCCCCAAGGTGAAACGGGGCCGAGGTCGGCCACCCAAGGTCAAAATCACTGAGCTATTGAATAAGACAGACAGCCGCCTTGTAAAGAAACTGGAGGCCCAAGGTACAGTGGTGTTTCTTACTGGGATTCTGTTCTCTCCATGAGTTATCTGAAATGTTGGTGAACTGCTAATACCTGGGCTTCCCAGGAGCATAACTGACATTATCTGGACAGAATGAATCTGGATCAACTTCTGCCTGGAATACAGCATTAGGGTCCCAGCACTTTGGGGTACTTTTTTTCTGGCCAGTTTCTTCCTTGAGTAGCTTTTACTTGTGAAGCCTTGGGCTGTCCCCAGATGTGGTTATATAGCCCAGAGAAGATGACATTCATGTCCTTACCCACCTTTCAGTTCCTTACTTATCAGAGTGGTGTCAGTTTTACACTCTTACCTTGCTCATTATCAACATCATGGAGATTCAGAATGCACATCTGAATTCAAAAGATAATTGGCCCTCTTTTTGTGGGATAGACAGGTGGAAAATGTCTAATTTTTTCAGTAAATATTACCTTTACCCTGGTGTAGTGTGAAGAATGTAAAAAAAATTTAGTCTTCTAATTCCCATTTAGAGTTCCAGCTGTGCCATATTCTCACTGTGTTACCTAGAACAAGTCTCATATTTTAATAGGAGCCTTATTAAGTGGTTCATCTGCTTGTAACATCTGTCTTAGAGTGTTGCCATATAGACATGTGGTAGTGTTTATATACCAGAAATAATAGAATAGGTACTGTTATGTCAAAAACATCAATTATGAAAAACTCTATTGTACTTCAATATTCAATCTTCCAGAAAGGAAGAAATTCAGATCTATTAGTGGAGTGAGACATGGGAGCTGAGTATATGCAGTAACTTATGTCAGTGTAGTTCTGACTCTGTTGAGGTGTCTGTCATCTGGGCCTTTTCTTTCTGGCACACTCTTGGTTAGTCAGTACTTTCATCCACCGTTCTCTTTCCCTGGCAGTTCGGCTTCCTATAATCTCAAATCAGTTTATGGGTTGCTGTCCTTGTCAGTAGCTTGGGAGACAGGCCACAAGGCTACTCTGCCATTGTGACTTCTTTTCTATCAGCAGGACCCCTTTTAAAGCAGTTCGATTGGAGCCAGGGGCTCGTGCTTCTGGGCAAGAGATGCCATTTGAGTTTTTTGTGCCACCCACATAGCAGGTGCCTCTCCTACATCCCCCCCTCCCCAGCATTTTATTATGTATACTTTTTTTTTTTTTTGACTGGTAAAGGGATCACAACCCTCAGCACGGTGTGGTCTGCACCATGCTCAGCCAGTGAGCGCACTGGCCATCCCTATAGAGGATCCGAATCCGCGGCCCTGGTGCTACCAGCTCCACACTCTCCTAGTGAACCACGGTGTGGTCTGCACCATGCTCAGCCAGTGAGCGCACTGGCCATCCCTATAGAGGATCCAAATCCGCGGCCCTGGTGCTACCAGCTCCACACTCTCCTAGTGAGCCACAGGGCCGGCTCTATTATGTATACTTTTTTTTTTTTCCTTTTTGTCTTTTTTTCGTGACCAGCAACGGATCGCAACCCTCAGTGTTGCGCCCGTACCGGACCGGGACCGGCAACGGGATCGCAACCCTCGGTGTTGCCCCTGCACCTCGCTTAGCCAGTGAGCGGGAACCGGTCTGTATGTGGGATCTGAACCCTCGGCGGGAGCGCTGCCGTGCTTCCCAAGCGGCTGTAGCAGTGCGCCACTGGGCCGGCCCTATGTATACTTTTTAAAAAAACTACTCTAGTTCTTCAGGGAGCTGCTTGGGAGGCCAGCTTTGTGATAGGCATGTGCTGCCCTAAATCCTAGGGATCCGTCTTCCTGCCTCAGTATGATTTTTCTTTTTGCCCTCACAGAAACACTGATTGAGGAGGATAAAGCAAAGATGAGTAAAAGCAAGAAGATGAGGCAGAAGGTACAACAGGGAGAGTGTCAGACTGCTATCCAAGGGCAGGTGAGGGAAGTGAGATTGCCCAGTGGGTTAACTTTTTCTATAACCTGCTTCATCTTTTCTTCCATCTTTTACCTACCACATCTGCCACCTCCTGTGTAGCAGCATACCTTAATTACCCTGAGGTTTCTTGGGCTTGATATAGAGAATTGGGCTTGTTCAGGAATAACTTGGGCATCTTTAGGGTGAGAGAATCCATCTATTGCCAACCCCTTATCCCATCTCTCACCTCTCCTCCCCAGCGCCCTTGTCTCTCTTTTTTAATCCTAGCCCAAGCAGAGATGCTTTCAGAGTTTGAGGAGAAATGACTTCCCTTATGGTTTACAGGCCAGAAACAAGCGGAAACAAGAGACCAAGAGCTTAAAGCAGAAGGATACTAAGAAGAAATGCAAGGTAGGTGCATGTACACACTCACCAAGTATAATTTTGAAGCTACCAAGCTGATTTTGGAAGACCTGTGCATCAGTCTTGTTTTATAGTTAACATTTCTGGGCTCTGAGGTTGGGAGGGACTGGGACTTGGGAAGGGTACCTGGGACCAGACTGGTATTTTTATGGCATTCTTGGTTCCTCTCTCTTTTGGGTGGATAGGCTGAGAAGGAAAAGGTAAAGACAAAGCAGGAAAAACTGAAGGAAAAAGTGAAGAGAGAAAAGAAGGAGAAGGTAAAAATGAAAGAAAAGGAGGAGGTGGGCAAAGCCAAACCAGCCTATAAAGCAGATAGGAGCCTAGCCACACAGCGGCGCTTGGAGGAACGGCAGAGACAGCAGATGATCTTGGAGGAGATGAAGAAGCCCACAGAGGATATGTGTCTGGCCGACCATCAGGTAGTGAGGGGAGAGTACAGTTCCTGGGTCATGGAGGGAACCAGTTGTGAAGATACTTCTGTTAAAGGAAGAACCTCAAAGACATTCAAATTGTTGCCTTCTGGTATGTTTAACAGAACGCCCTACCACTTTTATCTCTCCAGCCCCTGCCTAACTTCTCACGCATTCCTGGTCTGGTACTACCCAATGGGGCCTTCTCAGACTGCTTGACCATCGTGGAGTTTCTGCATAGCTTTGGCAAGGTGCTGGGCTTTGACCCTGCCAAAGATGTGCCTAGCCTGGGGGTCTTGCAGGAAGGACTCCTGTGTCAAAGTGACAGCGTGGGCGAGGTGCAAGACCTGCTGGTGCGGCTTCTGAAGGCTGCACTCTATGATCCTGGCTTACCCTCTTACTGTCAGGTGAGCATCTCTCCTAGGAGGGCTGGGAGGGTCCAGGATCCAGTGCTTTACCTTGGTTTTGCTTTCTCTTTAAGAATACCTAAAAGTCTTTACCTAAAGTTATCAGAACAAGTGGTGGTGGGGGGGGGATAAAGCTTCTTCCTGTTTCTGTTTTCCTTATGTTTTTACTTTCGTTTCTTTTTCTTTCTAACTCCCCTCTCCTTATTTTGTTCATTTTCCTTATTTATTCCTTTTCTTTTGCACATTTCCATTGTAGTCTTCTTTCATCTTGTACTTCCTAGCAAGTTTCATTCTTTTCCTCTTGTTCTATCTTAACCCCGTAGTTCTCTCCTGCTGTATTTCCCTCTTCCAGGTTTACTCAACTTGAGTTGTTCCTCTTTTCCTCTTCACTCCCATTACACTCTCCTCCAAACAGTCCCTAAAGATCTTGGGGGAGAAGGTATCTGAGATCCCACTGACGAGAGACAATGTGTCTGAGATCCTGCGCTGCTTCCTCATGGCATATGGAGTAGAGCCAGCTGTCTGTGACAGCCTGCGCACCCAGCCTTTTCAGGCCCAGCCACCTGAACGGAAGGCTGCTGTCCTGGCCTTCCTTGTGCATGAGCTCAATGGCTCCACCCTCATCATCAAGTGAGTGGATAGACATGGGAATGGTTATTGTATGCCTTGTGTCAAAACGGGATGGGGAGGGTTTTGGCCATCTGGAAGTCCTGGGATTATGTGTTATTTACTGCCATGCTCTGAAGATGCTGGAGTATCATGGGACTGAATCTCAGTGCCTTCCCTGGGAGAACTTAAGCCTTCCTCTGCCATTTATCCAATCTAGGTTCTAGGCTGAAACTCCCTGTTCAGCTGCAGTCCCTTTACCCTTGAGCCTCTCTTCCCTCTTTCTGTGCTGCTGCCACTTCTCCTGCAAAATCCCATTCCCTGTTCCTCTGCAGTGAGATTGACAAGACACTGGAGAGTATGTCCAGCTACAGGAAAAACAAATGGATTGTTGAAGGCCGGCTCCGGAGGTAGGAACAGGAGAGGGTAGAGCCCAAAGAGAGGAGAAAAGGGGAAAAGGAAAGGGTTAAGCATGGCCAGGACTTCCATCTGGAATGCAGTGTGCTTATCCCTTCCCTGGGTTTGGGATCTTAACAGGGCTTAGGATGTTTTTGATACTCCATGTGTTCCTTTTGTGGCATTATCACCACAGTTATCCTTAATCTCTGTTTCAAGACTGAAAACTGCTCTGGCCAAGCGAACTGGGCGGCCTGAGATAGAGATGGAAGGACCAGAGGAAGGTCCAGGACGGAGGCGCAGTTCTCGGATCATGGAGGAAACCAGTGGCATGGAAGAGGAGGAAGAGGAAGAGACTATATCAGCTGTCCATGGCCGCAGGGGTCGAAGAGATGGAGAGGTACTAGCCCTAGACCAAGGAAAGTGAGAGTTAAAAAATAGATTATTTCTCTTTTGTTAACGTGATAACTCCCTTTTTTTCAGTGTCCATTTGTTTCTCTCCAGGTTGATGCCACAGCGTCTAGCATCCCAGAGCTGGAGCGCCAGATAGAGAAACTCAGTAAGGTAGTCTGCTTTTTTTGTGTGTATGTGGCTGGCTGGTATGGGGATCTGATCCCTTGACCTTGGTGTTATCAATACCATGCTCTAAACCAACTGAGCTAACCAGCTAGCCCAGGTATTGTGCTTCTAACAGCGTTGCAAGAATTGGAGATGTGGGCTGGGCAAGAATTGATCACCTTCTGAGTTGGGCCCAGTTGGTATCAATTTTATAGACAAGCTGAGAGCCATTGTCTTTCTCCTATATACTGGGTGAATTCACCACTGTCACTCTGGGAATGTTTTTTTAATTTATCTTCCTTTTCCGCTGCCTACCCAGCGCCAGCTCTTCTTTCGCAAAAAGCTGCTTCATTCATCTCAGATGCTTCGGGCAGTCTCCTTGGGTCAAGACCGCTATAGACGCCGCTACTGGATATTGCCATATCTGGCTGGTATATTTGTGGAAGGAACACAAGGGAGCTTAGGTAAGTGTGTTTGTGGAAACCTATATTCCAAGTCCTATGTGACAAAAGTTAAATCATTCCTTTTTCTCTACCCAGTAGTCTTGGGCTTCTTTCATTTTATGAAAATTGGTAGAGTATAGTGGTTAAGAACACAGGCTCTGCCTACCTCCCTGCTCTGCCATTTACCAGCTGTATGCTTCAATTTCTTCATTTTAAATTGGAGATAATAATAGTATATATGTCCTTTATAAGGCTATTGAGAGTATTAAGATGAGTCAGTGCTCTTAGAATAATGTTTAACATATAGATGATTCTCAATAAATGTTAGCTTTTGATTATGCTGCTGATTACTTAGGAGAGGAGTGTTTCTTCCCCATATACTTTGTTCATTGGCATATAAGCTGTTCCCAGGTGGAATATCAAAAAAGGAGACTAAGTCTATGAAAAAAAGAAAGTATACATCCTATGTTTATATGCCCTATTTCTTTCCCCTTATATATCAGTGTATGTCTTAAACTTTTTACTTCTCTTTACAGTTCCTGAGGATATGATAAAGTGGGAAACTGACTCCTTAAAGGTGGCAGCCCATCCAGCACTCAACCCTGCTCGCTTCTTTGTAAAGAGAGAATTAACTGGCTCTAGCACTTCTGCTGGTTCTCCTGCTCGGGCTCGAGGCCGGCCTCGAAAAACTAAGCCTGGGTCTGTGCAGCCTAGGCACCTTAAGTCCCCTGTTAGGGGTCAGGATTCAGAACAGCCCCATCTTCAGCTTCAGGCTCCTATCCAGCCCCAGCCCCAGCCCCAGCTTCAGTCTCATCCTCAGTCCCATAATGGTTTCCTGGAGCCAGAAGGCTCCCCTTTGTCTCTGGGTCAGAGCCAGCATGACCTCAGCCAGTCAGCCTTCCTGTCTTGGCTGAGTCAGACTCAGAGCCATAGCTCCCTGTTGAGCAGCTCAGTCCTCACTCCTGATAGCAGCCCAGGAAAACTTGACGCAGCACCATCGCAGCCCCTGGAGGAGCCAGAGCCTGATGAGACAGAATCCAGCCCCGATCCTCAAGCACCCTGGTTTAACTTCTCAGCCCAGACGCCCTGCAATGCTGCCCCTACACCACCCCCTGCAGTTTCTGAGGACCAACCCACTCCCTCCCCTCAACTACCTGCCTCCTCCAAGCCTGTAAGTGAATTAGTAGCATGCACTTGACTTTATCTTGCCACAGGCTCCATTGCCTGGCTATGGGGCTGTTGCCTGAAGTTGAGGGAACCTATAAACATGAAAACTTCCTCATCCCCTTCTGTGTCTAATCTTAATCACAGGTGGATAGATCCAGTGCTGCCAACCCCTGTTCTCCAGTGCAATTCTCTTCCACCCCCTTGCCTGGGGTGGCCCCTAAGAGGCGAGCAGGAGACTCTGGAGAAATGTCACAGAGTCCCACAGGGCTGGGACAGCCAAAACGGAGAGGGAGACCTCCCAGTAAGTTCTTCAAACAGATGGAGCAGCGTTACCTAACCCAGCTGACAGCCCAGCCTGTCCCCTCTGGTGAGTGATCTTGGGGTGGAGTGGGGTAAAAGTGACATCCATTGTGGGCAGTGTGATTCACAGCTGGTTCCTACCCCCACCCCACATACATACACTCTGCTCACAGAGATGTGCTCAGGCTGGTGGTGGATCCAAGATCCTGAGACACTGGATGCCATGCTCAAGGCCCTACACCCCCGAGGCATCCGGGAGAAGGCACTTCACAAACACCTTAACAAGCACAGGGACTTCTTGCAGGAAGTCTGCCTACGGCCCTCAACTGGTAAGTAGATACCTTGACCCAGCCTGAGCTGAAGAGCCCAGGGTAAATGTTGAGCTGTTGCTATGGACAACAACCTGATGGACCTTCCCTCTGCCTTCTCTCTTCTCAGACCCCATTTTTGAGCCCAGTCAGCTACCTGCCTCTCAAGAAGGGATCATGAGCTGGTCCCCCAAAGAGAGAACATATGAGACAGACCTAGCTGTGCTTCAGTGGGTAGAGGAGCTAGAACAGCGGGTTATTCTGTCTGATCTACAGATTCGGGTATGCTGGGATTGACACTGGGTCGGGAGTTGTTTAGGGGAGGGCATTAATCCCTTGTACCCTGTTAGGAAAAACCCTGGGTTTCTACTTCACAAGTCACCTACCATGACCTTCCTTTTTTTTTTTTTTATTATTTTACATTCTAAGATGTTGCCAAGCAGTTGGTGGGGAGGGGAAAGGGGAGGAAGTTAGGGTGGAAGGAGGAGGAAAGGGGGGGTGTGGTAGAGGCCTGTGGCACCCCTCTCATTCCATCAGGGGGGCAGTGGCTTGGCTGCTGGAGGCTGTGGTGGATGCAGATGTTGGGGGGTGTGGCTGAGGCTCTCAGCCCCCCACTGCCCTGGCTCAGATGCCGTAACCTTAAACTGGTCATTTTTTTTCTTTCTTTTTTTTTTTTTTTTTAAAAGATGACCGGTAAGGGGATCTTAACCCTTGACTTGGTGTTGTCAGCACCACGCTCAGCCAGTGAGCGAACCGGCCATCCCTATATGGGATCCGAACCCGGGGCCTTGGTACCATCAGCACCGCACTCTCCTGAGTGAGCCACGAGCCGGCCCTGGTCATTTTTTTTTCTATGTGTAATTTTCTTCTCTTATAATGAGTTTTATTCCTCTCTCCCACATGAAGGGCTGGACATGTCCTAGCCCAGACTCTACTCGTGAAGACTTGGCCTACTGTGAGCATCTCCCCAACTCCCAGGAGGATATCACCTGGAGAGGTCGAGGAAGGGAAGGACTGGCACCTCAGCGTAAAACTACAAACCCTCTGGACCTGGCTGTGATGCGACTGGCTGCCCTGGAACAGAATGTGGAGCGGCGGTACCTTCGGGAGCCCCTCTGGCCAGCCCATGAGGTTGTGCTGGAGAAGGCCTTGCTCAGCACACCCAATGGTGTCCCTCAAGGCACCACTACAGAGATGTAAGTGACTCCCACTTGGTCTTGGAGAGAAGGGATATAAGTTCCCTCTTTAATGGATCTTGTTCCTCATCCAAAGATCACGACTTTCTCCCTCCAGATCATATGAAATTACCCCTCGCATTCGTGTCTGGCGTCAGACACTTGAGCGGTGCCGGAGTGCAGCCCAGGTGTGCTTGTGCCTGGGCCAGCTAGAGAGGTCTATAGCCTGGGAGAAGTCTGTCAACAAAGTGGTAAGAGGCTCGGAGAGCCTGGAAAGACTGAGGAGCCAGTCAGCTGGGGTGGGTGGAGTCACTGGCAGACAGAGGCTTGAACACTCACTCTGCCTTCTCACAACCTTGGTCCAGACCTGTCTAGTGTGCCGGAAAGGTGACAATGATGAGTTTCTTCTGCTTTGTGATGGGTGTGACCGTGGCTGCCACATTTACTGCCATCGGCCCAAGATGGAGGCTGTCCCAGAAGGAGACTGGTTCTGTGCTGTCTGTTTGGCCCAGGTAAGGCTTCTGCTCTCTTACTCCTACTCCCAAGCAGAAGTCAGAGATTTTCTTTTCATCCCTTTTACCACCAATCCTACAAATATCCCTTTTCATGCCCTCAGTCTGTCCTTTGAAAGAGCTCCAGACTGGGTGTTAGGAGGCCTGAATTCTGGTCCTTCTTTGGACAGGTCTCTTAAATTCTGTAGCCTCAATTGCTTCCTCTACAAAATGAGAATAGTTATACATTCCCGTTTACCTACCTTATTGGGTTAGGTGAATAAACTCACATTCTGGCTTATATGTGAAAGTATTTTTGAAGCTTTTTTTACATTTAGGTAAGGATTGTAATGAACTGGAGCACAAGCAGAGTACATCTTCAGCTGTCGCTGATCTCACCTTTTTCCTGTTCTCAGCAGGTAGAGGGAGAATTCACTCATAAGCCTGGTTTCCCAAAGCGAGGCCAGAAGCGGAAAAGTGGTTATTCACTGAATTTCTCAGAGGGTGATGGCCGCCGACGCCGGGTACTGTTGAGAGGCAGAGAGAGCCCAGCTGTGCCTCGGTACTCGGAAGAAGGGCTGTCCCCCTCCAAGCGGCGGCGATTCTCAATGCGGAACCACCATAGTGATCTCACATTTTGCGAGTGAGTTTAGTGAATTCTGGGGACAGTTGGCTCTACTTCTGCCAGAGGAAAGGGCTGAGAGGCATCAGTATATTTGCTGCTTGAGGTGGAACCATCACTGTCCCTGTAATGACAGGATTATCCTGATGGAGATGGAGTCCCATGATGCAGCCTGGCCTTTCCTGGAGCCTGTGAACCCTCGTTTGGTAAGCGGGTACCGGCGCATCATCAAAAACCCTATGGATTTTTCCACCATGCGGGAGCGGCTACTCCGGGGAGGGTAAGTAGATGTCAGCAAGTTCCCCAGCTCTTCTGTTACTGCTGCACTCTTATCCAACTCACAGCTCTGCTTCCACCCTGCCCAGATATACCAGCTCTGAGGAGTTTGCAGCTGATGCTCTCCTAGTCTTTGACAACTGCCAGACCTTCAATGAGGATGACTCGGAAGTGGGCAAGGCTGGGCACATCATGCGCCGCTTCTTCGAGAGCCGTTGGGAAGAGTTTTATCAGGGAAAACAGGCTAATCTGTGAGGCAAGGGAGGTGGGAGTCACCTTGTGGCATCTCCCCCTACCTTCCAAACAAAACCTGCCATTCTCACCTGCTGATGCTGCCCTGGGTCCAGACTCAAGTGAGATGTAACCTTGATTTTTGACCCTGCCCTTGGCAGCACCCCACATCCTCTTATCCCTATACCCTTTCTCCCTTTCCTCCTCTTGCTCCTCAAATAAGAGGTGCAGAGATGAGGTCCTTCTGGACTGAAAGCCAAAAAAAGAAAGAAAAAAATTTTTTCCTTCTGTTTTTTTTTCCTAATTAAAAATGGGGAGGGGGAAAGAAGTCTCTTCCTCCTCCTCCCAACTCCCTTTCCTTCCCTGTACGTGCCCCAGCATTCTGGGGTTATTTAACAATAGCAATAGTTCTAGTGAATGTGTGAAACTGAGAAACACTCTGTACTGTGTGTGGACCCGCAGTGACGGCCAGTAAAGTGGACTTAACTCCCAAGTGTGTCGAGCCGGACACCGGGCCCTGAACATGCTGCTTCCATGTTCAGTCCCTTTCCCTGCTTCTCGCTTTCTCTCTCTAAGTTTTTTCTTTTCCCTCCCCTACTCCCCAATTTTCAGATTTTCTCTCATCCAGTAATGTAAAATTTAATGTGTACGGGTTCCTCCCTTCTTTTCTCTTCTCCCAAATCTTTTTTCCCTTCAAAGGAAAAAAAAAAGTTTAGCAATCCCTGCCTTTTTCTCTGTCCTCATCTTCCTGCCAATAGCTATCCCCTCTATAATGTTAGACGCTCCTCACATGCTGAGTTTCCAGCCTTTTCTGAAACTCAGTAGCTGAGGGGGAGGGCAGGGAGGCCCAGGGGAGGGCCTCCTTCCAGCCTTGCCAATAGCTATCCCCTCTATAATGTTAGACGCTCCTCACATGCTGAGTTTCCAGCCTTTTTTGAAACTCAGTAGCTGAGGGGGAGGGCAGGGAGGCCCCCTGGGCCTTCCAGCCTCCTTCCCCACCTCCTTCCCAAACCTCCCTCTTGGGAACTCCTCAGGGACAACTACTGCTGAGTTTGGGCGCACCCCCAAGATGGAGGCCAGGTAGGAATTGACTGGCCTCAGAGAGAGAGAGAGAGGTGTGTTTGTTTGTGTGTGAGAATGAGAGAGGATGCTGTGATTGTGACCCTGTATTTGATAGGATCCATTCAGTTTCCCCGAGTATGTTTTTATTCTCACCTTTCCCATTGTTTCAAACCATCACTTTTTTGTCTTTGGGAAACCACAGGAACAATTATTCTGGGGACAAGGCTGTGTCTCCTCTCTGATCATTTCTGTTCCAGCCTCTTCAAACTGTGCAATCTTTCAGCAGGAACTGCCTCTCTTCTCAGTAGCTTTGAGACTTAAGCTTTGGCAGGGAGAGGGGTAGAACTGGACCTTTTCCTAATCCCATGAGCCTCTCTGAGTTTAGTTTTGCTTTCCTTCCCTTATCTACTTTGTACCCCAGGACCCCTTCCCCAGCAGCAGAGACCCTGGAGCACAGGAGAAGGAGGAGGAGGGATTTCTGGTCCACCACTGCCCTACATGTGACTATGCCCAAGTTAAGCTCCCAACACGTGAGAGGAAAGCTGCTAACTCCCAGCTATAGCCATGGGCCCCTGGCCCCCTGCTCAGCAGAGCCCCTCCCATCAGAGATTACGGGTACTTGCACTGGGGAGGTGGCTGCTGGCTGGCCCAAGCAGAAAGCTGAGGCATTCAAGAAATGTTCCATTGGTGAGAGGGGGTTGCCAAGTGAGGTGGAGCATTCCTTGTATTCTGGCAGCACTGAAGGGGGGGGGCAATTTAGGTCCTGGGGCAGCCTCATTTCTTTACACCCCTTCTCCCCCATAGCCTATTTCTAAAGTCGCCTTTTCTGTCAGATAAACCTCAAAACTTTTAATTTTATTTGGGTATTTTTGTGGGTTTTTTTTGTTCGTTTTTGGTTTTGCTTTTAAATAAGAGGTGGATTGAAGAATATTTGAATTGACTTTATATTATGCATAAATATTTATATTTTATCTAAAATAACTGCGCTGTAACGAACTGTGTTAGTCAAATGGTTGGAACTGTTATAGTTGGGGGCTCCCTTTTTTCCCCATGGCAGTTTTCCCCTGGTATAAAATGTACTAGAATAATTTCACTGTTGGAGGTGAGGTGGATAGGGGGAGTGAAATCTCAATTGTTCCTACTATGTGTTCCTCTCCCAGCTCCATCTCTTTCCTTAGGGACCAGGCACTCTTAAGGTGGGGGTGGGGTCCTAACCTCAGTTTGAAGAAGTGGGGGCAGAAGCGGGATGGGGATAGGGCATGATCAAAGGGGCCATTTCTCACTTTTCTTTCCTCATCTTCACTGCCCCTTGAGCTAGGTGGATCTTCTCTTGATGTATAAGAGTATTTGGTAGGGAAGGCAGGTTAGAAATAAAAAGACAGCCCACCCCCTGCCCTTTTGTTTCCCTTTTCCCTGTCAGTCTGGTAACAGAAGAAACCACACCATCAACACCAAGTTCCCATGTTCCTTTTACAAAAAAGGGGACGGACTTTTTATATAACCAAATGTGGTGTTTTAGTGACTTTTTGATAATGTACAGTTTTTTGTGAATTTAAATTTATTTCTTTCTATATTTTTAGGACCAATCTCATTTTTAATAAGGTTAAAAAAGGAAAAAAAAAAGTCTAGAGAAAAAAACTCCTGTTTTTGCCATGTGATGTTCCACAAGTGCAGCTGTAGAAAAGTGCTTGTCAGTTGAATAAAAACCACATTTGATAGAGATTCAAAAGACTCTGTGTATTTATCTTCCCTTCAGCTTAGGTGCCCACACACATGTAAGGGAGACTGGGTGTTGGGATGGGTACGACTGACTGGCTTAGTGTAAGAGGTGGCAGGCAGGGGAACAATGCGCCCCTAAACTTCCAAGATTTCTTCTTAAACCTGTTTGGCTTTTCCTATACAAGAGGTGTCTAGAAACAAGATTCCTGTTTCACAAGTCTGGCTGAGATGCTGAAATAAACTGGGATTCAATGTGCCTAGTTCCTGTCTTCTTGTCAGACATGGCTTTGGCTCCCTAAGGTGCCACCTGTGTTCTGTAGTAGCAAATATGGGCCCATCACCTCCCACCATGGATAAGACACCAAGACATAGACTTTTGTTTTATTTTTTTTTTTAAGTTGAAATAAGATGGAGCTTTACCAAATTGTAGGAAAGGACTATGGGAAGACAGGGGGTCAGAAAAGGAAGAATAAGCAAGAAGGGTGGCATTGGCATAAACATGGGAAGAGTATATAAAACTAGAAGCCTCTGGATAAAGAAAAGTACAAAATGTGTTTAAAACTTATTTCCTGTCCACAGTGATAAGTACATGCAACAAAGTATTCACCCACCTAAAAAGAGTATGTGTTGGGGGAGTGGGAACACTGATAATGGGGTGGGGACTTTATGTACTCAGGCTGGAATCTTTTGTCTTGGTGAACCCTCTAAACTGGGTGTTAAGGTGAGGAAGGAACATCTGCTTTCAGCCCTATAAAAAAGTCACAAACTCCCCCTTTGGTGCTTGGTTACCTCCTCAGCTGTGTGGCAGCCACTGACTTGTTTATCCTCTTAAGTTTTAAGCTCTGCTCCAGTGTTGTTCTTGGGGGTGACTCCCAACCATTAGTTATCCTAGGCAGTCATTACATAGCCTACCCCTGGCCTACCACAGCAGGACCTATCTGGAGAGTTCATACTATTTTAGGGTGATTAGTGAGCTAAAAATCCCAGAGAAGACATTCCAAAAATAGAAGTATCCAAACTTTTTGCGTTTGATCATGAATCCTTTCTAGCCTGCAGCTTCCTAACTCATAAAGGACAATAAAGAAAGATGTAAACCAGGTGCTGTGCCTTGTTGACTTGTGAGATTGTGAGGTAGCTGTTTAACAAGGACAGGAAGTTTGGGAATCTGCTTGGAGAATGGTTTATTCAAAACAGCAGTAGACAGACTAGGGAGAAAGAGCAGTGGTAATGGGTGATGAGGGCACCTAGCTTTCTCATTACAGTCATGTGGGGACCACTCCTAGTGAGGTGCAGCAAAATTCAGCAAAGATCAGAAGTGAGATGGAACTCAGGCTGGTTTTAGCTGCTGAAGGAAGACTGCTATGGAATGGAGGGGTGAAAGCTGAGTAAATTTCAGGACTCTGCTAATGCTTGGAAGGATCTAAAATGCAGGTTGCACAGAAATGGAGTAGTTGGTTTAAAAGGGAATTAAGAAGGCACAAGATTCTAGACCTACCTCTTACAGACTGGCTTTTATAACACCCACCCTCTTCTCTGCAATCTGCTGATTCAGGTCTAGCACAACCTGGGGGCAAGTTGAGACTTGACCACCCTCCCACATTTATTCCCCTTGGCTATGAAGGCAAAGTAGCTCCTCACGTCGTGAGTGCAGTGATGCCACATTACCAGAAGGTGGGGCAAATGCACAAGACAGCAGTAATGGTTCCTTTTCTAGAAAACAAACAGCCACTGTCTGGGATCCCTGCAAATTCCAACAAGACCTCTCACAGCATCTTAATGGTGCAAAATAATAGCCCACATATAGGCCTCAGCCCCCAATGGGCTGACACATTGGAGTAGCAGGGAGTGAGCACTGGAGGCATTAAAGGGGGTGAATGAGCTCACTGATTAGTAAGTTAGGACTGGAATGGGGCTGAGATGGCCCAACCCAGGGATGACCTGTGGAGCAACAAAGTCTGGTCTTTATCCTCAGTGCAAGTAATATCCTCCTACCACCCCTATGTATTACTGACAAGGGCTATTAGCTCTTCAGATTCACCAGGTTTCCTAGGCTGGGCAGCTCTTCAAAGTCTTTGGTTAAAAACACTCTTTAAAAATATCATCCCTCCCCATCATCGTCCCCACATCTGCCTAACCTCTACTGGCACCCTCCTCCAAAAAGTCCAGTCTAGGGTCTGAGTATCAGAGCTTGAGAGGAGCCACAATAATACTGGCATGAGATGGGATAGGCAGGCTTGGATTCTAATAAAGGATTATACCAACTGAAGAGGGACTCTGGAATGTTCTATTTGACTAAAAATAAAAATATGGAATACTAAAATATTTTTTAAATGGTATAAGCATCTGTAATGAGTTGGGGGAGATATAAAGTACAGAGAAAATAAGATATGGGCTCCACGAAGACAGGATTTTTTTTTTTTTTTTTTTTGTCTTTTTCCGTGTCCGGCAACGGATCGCA